TTTGTACAAGTTTGTTCATCTGTGCCCCTTTTCATGCTAATAAGTCACTCAATTTGCTGGAAGTTCCCGCTTCTTGAACTTTGAGAAATGTCTTGAAACGGCTCTTTTCAAACCCGAGACTATTAACTACAAAAATCAGATAGAAAATAGCACTCTTAATTGAAACATGTGTCTTTAATTTGGGCGCTGCATCGTTGATGGTATCCGGATAACAATGAGGTATCTGCATCTGTAGTTTTTGCTGATTTGAGCCACGTTGTAGTTTTTAATAACTTGATTACTCGGGATGTATTTGTTTAACACCACACAAGACGAATAATTAAACAACTACTTTTCCAGTGTTTTTAGTTGTTTGCAACTTATGTATAACCAGTTATATAATCATTCCACTGAAGGAGTACATTCCCTTAAGCTTTTTGTCGTTGTTTTTGCACAGTGTTGAGCCCCAAAAGAGGGTATCCTTGAGAGTGGATCTTGTTGATAAATAGGCTATCCGGCTTAAATCACAAAACGTAGGTGACTCTAAAGTTCTGAACAAAAAATACATGGCTAGAGTACTAGTAAAACTGGTCACTTTTTCTTACTTCAGAAATCTGCTGAACCTTACGCTGATTACCATGTAAAGAAACTGGGATACAAACATAACCGACTAGCCTTAAACGATTCCGAGCGTTTTCAGCTTTTCCTTACATAGAATGTCCTTTTGGTTGTCTAAGCCTTTATGAGTGTCATTTTCACTCATTTCCCTTAAATAGAGTCATGGATTAAGAACCTGAGAGGCACACACCAATCCTTGATTTGTCGGAGTATCTAGTCGAAGTAGTTGTTTGTAAAATATAGTCGGGAAAACTCAAGACGCGTTGATTTTTTTCCTTTGCTGTGTCCTATGATATAGGTCATTTAGCAGTGACCCTTTAAATGTGAAATTGAGTATTTATTTCTACCGTTTGGATTAATAATAGGTTAAATAAGGATTTACACTTTTCGTAGCGTGAGAAAACAGCCGATATTTCGCGACGTCGCTGATGGTAGGCTCCGGCGATTTCCGCCGTCTCCCGGTCTTTGATCCTCCCTGCTGATGGTTTCTCGGCGAAATGAAGTCACTGAAAAAAATTCCATACTGATAGCGTGTCAAGACCCAAATCGGGCTACCGCTTTTGATTGTTTGAAGCAAATTTCCCTTGCGGCACGACGAATCACAAGCACTAACCCGGAGATCAGCACAAACTATTTCAGCGCTCGTTCCTCAGACGATATTTCGGGGGGGAAACCAGTGGTGGGGTTCCGAAATGTCGGCTTTTTTCTCAGGTTTTGCTTTTGGGAACCAGGGTTACCAGGTGTTTTTATCCTCATTATTTACTTAGAAAGTGGCCATATGTATTAAGGGAGTGTCCTGGTTAAGCGGGTTGAAGTAAAGAAAATGTAAGAGCTTTCTTTCGCCAGGAACAAAGCAAACTTTCCGTAATGATGAGTTGTCCGAGTATTAAGTGGGTCTCCGTAAAGCGAGGTTTGACTGTAATGGTTAAGGTTTGAAGACTTTGAAATGGGTAGGGAAGCTGTTCAAAGCATGCATACTTTGGTAAAAAAAAATAGACGCATGCCGCGCACTCACATCCGAATTTTCTTAGAGGCTACCCCTGGGATGTGTAATTTATGGACACTTAATTGTCCTTATGTCTATTCAGTGCCACAGTAGCGGAGAAAACAGATGCTACCAGGTGTACCACTGAAGAAGTAGACGTAATATGAGCCGCAATTTCTCACTTGGATGCTTGTTGAAAAACGACAGCAGTCATTTTCCCAGTGAAAGCACACCGTCTTGCTGACCTGACCGTCAGCCACTGCGGGATGAGTACCATTGATCCAGCCGGGAGCATTGGTGTTACACCTCCGTGTGGGTGGACATAAAGTTGGCATTCTGGTCCCTGCAGCTCCTCCAAACCGGTACCACCAGGGCCAATTCCGTTGTCACATCCGAAGTATTTGCTGAGTACGTCTCACTCCTGTCTTTACTCGTGAGGTTGTGAAAGGTTTGGCATTCTGATAAGAAAAGATAAGATGATTTTAACATTCAAGCAGCAACATTGACATGTGCGGAAGACTAAGATTAATTAGTTACGACATATATCTTTATTAATATCAACCCAAGGTACGATGAGTCTTCTGTTTTGCCAATGCTTTTCTTACAACAAAATCGTACAGGAACAAAGCTTGTTTTAATTTTGTCACAAAACTATCCGCTAGTAAAGAATATGACAGAAACTTAATTTGCACTAGAAATGTAAACAGTGACTGGTGTATCAGACTAACTAAAGATAAGAGGATGGCACGGCCACCAAGCGATTTGGGTCACAGTTGTAACTCAACAAGACTGGTATTATGTTAAAGCTGGCCTAACTCGGCCAATTGTATGAACCCTGACTGCCTTTTTTCCTCTTATTTTCCTCCTCCAATTCCCTTTCTCTACCCACTGCTCTTTTTGCTTGCCTTTCTCTAGCCTTCCTAATCTTCATTTATTCCGGTCTAATGGCTTGTAATGTCCAGTTAAATAAAAGGGGTTACAAACCCAACGGCTCCAGCTGCCCGGTAGATGAGCCCATGAGGTACTCTATTATAAAAGTAAACGAAGAAGTGATTTCTGGGCGTGGCTTCATGTACTTGGCCCTCAAAGGAGACAATACTCCAACACAGTATGACGACGTTTAATGTTTTATATAGATTATTTTCCGCACAATCCCAAGCGATGCTTTTATAGGCAAAAAATCGTATTTATTCTATTAAACGTCGCGGCGTTTATGAATTTTTTTGGGTTTTTAATGCGGCGTTTAATCAAGGGTTGCGTGTCGAGGGCGGCCTTTATTGCGAAATCACTTTATTCAAATCACTGTCAACAGCTATTGTAAATCGTTTGTAAATATTATGTAACCTAAAGGTTCCAATGTTTCTCTTATTTTGCTGAGATAGAATCGTAAATGTCTGAATGATATAAACTTACTGTGAGTATTAGGCCTTCCTAAGTATCAGAGTATCAGTCCTTACTAAGTATCAGAGTATCAGGCCTTCCCAAGTATCAGAGTATCAGGGTTTTTATCTTCCCCCTTTCCCCCCAGAAATGCCTCATACATGTAAATTACCAAGTTGTACCGAGGTGCGTTTATTCGACGGCGGCTTTTAAACAATTATTGGATGAGGTTTTTGTGATATCCGGAATAATCAAGGTCGAGGTAAGTGTAAGTGCCGAAGCCGAAGGCTGAGGCTGATAACACTAACCGAGACCTTGGTTATTCCGGA